AATTAAAACAGGTACTATAAATATAAACTTTCAATGTATAAAAAAATGGAAAAGAACATACAAATTAACAAATTTTAACTAAAGAAAATAAATAAATAACTACAAAACTTCAAATTTACTTAAAAACGTCAACCAGCGAAATGTAACTTTTTTATTTTTCTTTACACACGCTCATTTTTATTTTTACTCTCCCGAAAACTTTGACTTTTGTAGGTTTGATGTCAATTTGGCTTCAACCTGTTTTTATTGTACCATGTATTCAGATTATAAAAGTTTTTCACATATGTTTTAAGATTTTAAAGCTTTTAAAAAGTACGGTAGAATGCAACAATATGCTTGAATTTGTTTGCTTCTTCGTCAGCTTATTCGTTTGCAGACTAGAAAAATGGCGAACAGCCATCAAAATACTGATTCAAATTACACATCTTTCACTGGACACACAAATGGGTGCGCGCAGCAAAATTCAGCCCTAATGGTAAGTTAATTTCATCGTGCGGCGATGACAAGTTAAGAATTTGCGATACATTTTCAGGCGAATGTGTGCGAACGTTCACCGAGGGAAGAGGTATGGGACGACAGCTGGCATGGCATCCAGACGGTAATCTGGTGGCTTTAGCATTAAGTTGTAACCGCTTTAAGATATTTGACATAGCTGAAGGCGAGCTAATACAGTGCAAAGTCATGATTCAATAATACAAGGTTCGATAAACTGACAGTTGTCTCTCTCGCACCGCTCCCTTAGCAGTGGCACCGTGTTGCTTCTTTGCTTGTATTCTTCCACAATGATGATTACAACCTGGATGAAGACAGCCCCTTTGACTTTGCACCATGATTCAATGATTCAATAATGAAGAAGCAAACAAATTCAAGCACATTGTTGCATTCTACCGTACATTTTAAAAGCTTTAAAATCTTAAAATATATGTGAAAAACTTTTATAATCTGAATATTTCTTATGTCGCAATCAAAACCAAATTTTATAAATAGCATTTTTAAAAAGCAATCATCTAATATTTTTCAAGTTTTTGGGCATATATGTTACCATTTGAACAACAAATACTACCAAGTTTTAAGAGACTATTTAATGCAACTCAGGTCAAAAAAGCGCACTTTAGACCAAAATAAGCAACTCTAAAAAACAGATGATCGCAGCTGTGGCCCAGGATGACGTCTATTGCCATGTTTCAATAATACAAGGTTAGATAATTATTGACAGCTGCGGTTTGACACTCCCTTACAAAAGGTTGCATTTACGAAGGACAGAGAAAGTGCAAGAATGCAATCCCTTGTTGCGAAAATGGTAGAAGAAAAGTACTAAAAGTAGGCAATTAATAGTGAAATTCCTTTCGTAAATTCTAATGTATTTGCAGGAAATCTGGAATTTTAAACGAAATGTTGAACGTAATATTGATATATCTACGTGAATTACGTAATTTATATGCTATTTAGCCGTATAAAAACTGCGAAATGCCTCAAAAATAAAATAAGACTACTATGAGATTGATGTAAACATCCAATGCTTACGTTTTCATCAGTTAAATATGCTTCATATGCATATACAAATAAACATATTGCACAAAAGCTTATACTTTTATTTCACACCAAAGCTACACTGTTTCCATGTAAATTTGCAAAGAAGCAACACGGTGCCACTGCTAAGGGAGCGGTGCGAGAGAGACAACTGTCAGTTTATCGAACCTTGTATTATTGAATCATGGTCTATTGCTAAGATATCTCACTTGTATTTGTACACAATGCCTTTTTCGCTTGTTGGATGCATATAACTTGCAGCCACAGTATACCAGTAGAAAAGGTTTTTGTTTTTGTAGCTGTTTCGTGGTGAAAGTCCTTTATGGCGACCAAATTTCCCCACAAGAAATTGAGCGCATGGTTGCTTTTGCGGCCCAAAAGAATGAATATTAGAAAACATTTAAAAAAAGTCTAAGGTAATACAATTATATGCAACTAAAAGTAATCACAATAATTTGCACTTATGACATAATGTGATAATCATGTGTAAAAACTCTTTTCAACTATTATTTTTCACAAAATAATTTTGCGGATCAGTTTGCTCTGAGCGCTTGTGTTGTTTACCAAGAAAATGCAGCCCTGTTGGTTTTTATTTCTGTATCGCATCGCGGTGAGTTTCCATTTCTTGGTAATTCGGTTTGTGAAATGGTAAACAAATTATTGAAATTTATTTATTTGATGTGTATAAGATTTCATTAATGCATTTTTTTGTATTTTCAGACTTTTAATTACAAGCACAGCATCATCAACGGTGATTGCAAGAACTACTGCAATCCCTGCGGTTTTTCCTCTTGGTAAATGCGTTCTGGTCGTGACCAAGGGTGGTCTCCCAAATCGGCTGGGAATAAGGTTAGTCATTTTAAATTTTATATCTTTGTTCGTCGACATTATATGACATGTCATCATTGTAGGCTATTGTTGCAGAACATAACGCCGCAACCACTGCTGTGGTAAATATGTTCCAGCAGAGCTGCCCACCGCCGTCGGTGTAATGATTTCGTTAGCTGAACAAACGCCATCTCCTGGGCATTCCCACAGCTTGCCGACACTAGCTATTATATGACGTGTGAATGCAACTGCAGCTTAATTTGGTTATTAACAGTACAATAGTACCATGTCATTGGCAAAAACACTAAGGGCTGCTGGCAAATATAGGTTGTAAAGTTTTTGGTATCGATGAACTTACTCGAAGAAGACGATGGCCGAAAACATATGATGAAACATCTTCTGGCATGCCTTTGACAATCGTTAAGTCAGACGGAGGCTTCACATACGATATTTCACACATGGCTGGAATTCGTTAGCGGACAGAACACACATTTAAAAAATATTTATCGTTCAGCAGAACGTGCATGCATATTCGATTCCGATTTTATGGGTCGATTACGGAGGACAACCGAACTTCAGTTGGTTGGCCAGTGGCTGAAATGGTATTACCGATGGCGACTAACAACTGAAAGCTGGCAACTAAGTTGCTATATTGGCAAGTGCGTTTTTGTGGTTGCCGGGAATTTTTGATTGAGATACTTCATTTCTTTTTTCAACTTTTTTTTTAAATTGTACCACCTTGAACTTTATGAAACTTAATTATTGCTATTCATAATAAAAAACACTTTCATTTCAGTGGCGCTGTCCATCGGCAACCCAACTGAGGTTCCGTTCCCATCCATAATCGATCTATAAGTCATAATCGTACGAACTAATCAAGGCTATCATAGAATCCATCGTAGTCCGATTTTTCGTGAAATCTACGAAAATGCTATTAAGGTCGAATAGCTACGAACGCAGCGCTTGCTTTGAATACACACGTTCATAGCAGTTCAGATTCAGTGATCGCTTTTTCGTAGATTTTAAGAAAAATTGGACTACGATGGATTCCGCCACCAATATGTTTTCTCCTTTGACAAGATGTTTGAGATTCGCGGCAGCACAGCCGTATACCTACTCTTTGCTCTTACGCGCATATGCTAAATTTCTCGCACCTAGCTAAAGTGCTTGACAAAGGCAGAAGGCATATCTTCAACATTATAACTTAAAGTAAAAAAGTTTAAGGCATGCAATAAAAGAATCAACAGAACCAAAAAATGTCCTCAAAACTATTAAACATAAAAAATTTCACGAATAAAATTCATAATTTAAAATAAAATATCGCAATTGTTTTTTATATGTACATACATATTTACAAAGTGAATCTTAAAGCACGCACAGTAAGTCCTAAACATATAAATGACTAATAAGAAAAATAATAAATAACAGTAATATGAAAAAGTATGTCGAGAAATCTCTAAATAGTAGCGAAACTGTATCCCAATAATAGCAAATAATTTTTAGCAAAAAATACAACCGATTTCAATGCGCATTTAGGTCGTTCTGGTTACGTAGATCCGACTGTCCTCCCTTTTTTTAAATCGTTAAAAAAAAATTAATCACCCTCATTGCGAGAGTCGTGTCGAATGCAAGTCGTTTTTCGATAGTCGAATAGCCTAATTTACGACTTACGCAATGAGGCTGAATACGTATTCTACAGAAAAAAGTCAAGATACATATTTAAGGATTTTAAGCAAAAATAAATAAAGGAAAACTTGTTCGTGATATCTCGACTAAGGTGTATTCATGATACAAAAATCTGAAGGTAAAACCGTTGAAAGGCAGCCTGAACATTTTTAAAGTTTGGTAACATTACAAAAATGTTTTCAAATTTTCAATCTCACAAATACATTCTCATTATCAGTCTCAAATAAATGAAAATTTCAATATTTTCATCTATTTGTTTTTTGTTTTACCTTTATTTGGCATTTGAGTTGCTCTCAAATTTTCAATTTTATAAAATAGACAAACTTCAAAAAGTAAATGATGGCCGACGAATTGTGCAAGCGGTTTTACCTTTAAATATTTGTATCATGGGTGTATTAAACAAGGGGCCGTATGCATAAAACCTGCAAATGCGTTTTCTTAAAATTTCAGAACTTTCACTCAATTTTTTCAAATAAATTTAAGTGAAAGGTATGAAAATCTGAGAAAAAGTAATTGCTTAGTTTTTATGCATACGGCCCAAGGTGTTATTGACAACTCAGTGCGGCTCTCTTTTAAGATACTATTATGTAAAAATGTAAAAAAATATAAAGAAACGATTCAAAATTCATACAAATTTTTTTCAATTTGACTTATAGGATGGTTCTTCTGAGAGCAATGTCAAATTCAATCACACTTTGTTAAATACATTTTGATCTCTACCAAATAATGTACTTCCTCTGTAAATATTTTATGAAGTGTTCCAAAATTCGCTCCGAGCGCGCTACCTGTTGATCATTTGATTTAAATAGTTTGTCAAAGAATTAATACTATAGTTTGATCGGAGTTAATATATTCTTCAGTATTGAATTATATTATATTAAAACATAAGCTTATGAGAAATTACTTATTCTTAACATGCATATTTTATATCGTGTTCCGAAATTCGCTCAGAGTGCGTTCACTATTGATCTTTTGATTCAAATATTGTTTGTCAAGCATTCAGTAGTGAAGTTTGATCGGAGTTTATATATTATTCAGTAATTAATCATATTAAATTGAAATATAAACGTATAATACGGTAGAAAGTTAGAAATTATTTAGTGTTAATATGCATAATTCGCTCCGTGTTCCAAAATTCGCCCCGAGTGCGTTCACTATTGATCATTTGATTTAAATAATTGTTTCTCAAGCATTCAGTACTATAGTTTGATCGTAAACTATATATTCTAAAGTAATTGATCACATTTTATTAAAATATAAACGTTTAATAGGGTAGAAAGTTAGAAATAATTTACTGTTAATATGCATAATTCGCTCAGTGTTCCAAAATTCGCTCCGCTTGCGTTACTATTGATCATTTGATTTAAATAATTGTTTCTCAAGCATTCAGTGTTATAGTTTGATCGGAAATTATATATTCTTAAGTAATTGATCACATTTTATTAAAATATAAACGTTTAATAGGGTAGAAATTGTGAAATTATTTAGCTTTAGCATGTATAGTCGGCCAGAGACAATTGCAGAAAACTGCAACTACTCGTGAAAACTTACAATAAAAGCAATGTAGACGAAAGTACTAGATATTATTATTAAAACTAGATCCATATATAAAACATTTTACATCATTTATTTGAAGTAAATCGGAATATGTTTTTACATATAAGATGGATTCCATTTAACTCAGAAAGTACATATTTCACTACAAATAATTTTAAGATCATTTCGAATTGCAAAAATAGCGCTAATTAGTTGTATTGAAGTATAAAACATTTTATTACGGTCATATTTACTTATAAAGCGCACAACAATATTTCTCTCGCCATTTATCCGATCTTAAAATTTTTCACCACATTATTTTGCTGCACAGCACCCTGAATGCGACAAAACAGTTGCTGGCAACCCTCAAGTCCTTTATGGGGACCAAATTAACAGCCACAACAACAAAAACCTTTTCTACTGGTATACTGTGCTTGCAGCAGCTAGCTGAAGCGTCAGAGCGGCGCCTACGTGACTATATCGTTAATAATGGCGGCAGTGGCCTTGGCTTATGTGGCCTAAGCACGAATTCAATGTGAGATTAAATTGATTTGCTATCATAATTTATTATTGATAAATTCAATTTAATTTCAACAGTAACCACGATTCCTCAAGCTTCTCCTCAACGGCCGCCATGGGTAATTCATGCAAGGACTCTGGTGTGACCGCTGCCATTTATGCGAATATATGCGACATGTTGGAGCGAAATAATGTACAGGCGAATGGTGTGGTAGTCGCTGAGAATGGGAGATGTATGGTGACTGGAGATGATATGTTGAATGATATTGAGATTGATGTTAGCAGTTTAACATGGTCAGAAGCCATCGAGGATACACTGACCGAAGTACTCGCAAGTAAACATACAAATATATCTTTCAATCCAGGGACTGGAAAAATTATTGCTGCAGATGTGGAAATCTCGGTAATTTAACTAGGTTAAATATATGTATGTAAAAAAAACTTATGTAATAAATATTTTGTAGCCAGAGACTGCAAATGAGGTTGATGTACCTGTGAAAATTCCTGAAAAGTGCACGGAGTGCGGGAAAGTTTTCAAAAACATTAGTTATCGAAGCGCGTAGGCGCTTACATACCAACGAAAAACCATATCAATGCAAGGTATATAGTTGTTTTTGTTACATAATTTCAAACTAAAAAAAGATAAATTTAGAATAACATCTTACTTCCCTTATACTTGAGCGAAAAAAAAGATGACAAAGTTCACGTTTTCCGTCGTAGCCCAGAAACACATCATCCCAACAAACATTTAGGGTAGAGAACGATTAGAAAACGACTCGAATTCTAATGTTTCTCTAAGGTAGAAGGTTAGAAGACGATTTGAGAAAGTGTCGAGAATTATAGCATTATCTACAAGGGGACTTAATTCTCAATATCGAGAAAGAAATAAGATATCTAATCGCTTTCTAACGTTCAATTCTAATTGGGTTCTAATGTCTAATATTTTTTCATCATTCTCCAATCGAATTCTAACATAGTTATCTAACCTGATTTTCAATTCGAGAACTACATTAAAATGCTAATGAAGAACCAAACTATTTCTCCAACGTTGTGTGTGTTTCACTGGGATATGTATAATTAAAAAAAAAACGAGATAAAATTCACAATAAAGTACTATGTCATCATATCACTGAGCCCATATTAGGCAGTGGAAAATTAATAAATTTCGAAGTTTAAAAGTAGATATTCTGCGAGAAAATAACAACTTCATTATATGTAACTGATAACTTAAGATTAAAATTATTGCCCAAGCAATATTCATAAATACATATCTAAAATCTAATAGTAGTAATAAAAATCAGACATTTGTTTGCATCCGCTTAACCACTGCGACTAATGACATACTTTTTTTCTATGCTATGAGTTTTATTGTATAAGTACACATTTCCTTGTGCAATCACATTTTAAGAGTTTTGAGATACTTAACTTTAAATTAATCTTAATTGTAACTCGTAATATTTACGACACCATTCCCGCAGCACTTCAGTTTTCTAAATACAAGTCGCATAAGTACGGTCACAAAGTACATGATTGCGAGAACAATAAAATAGCAACCATAAACAAAGAATTGTTCACGAGGTTTTAACCCATAGCCGGTATCAGTAACTACCACAAGTGTTAGAATCGACTGCAATACAAGTGCCGCCAGAGTATTAATGCCGAAAATTAAGCCAAAACTGTCTTCAGATAAATTCTCTGCAACAATAGCGCTCGCTGTTGTAATGACGAAAAAGTAGCAGATTCCAAAAAGAATGTACATTATGTAGGCCATCCAAACTAAATTCGTCTGTGATGAATAGATAGTGAAAACACCCATAAGAAGCGAACAAACAGTCAATATCCACATGTGCCATTTTCTATGATGACTAGAGTTAGCTATACCAGCCACCATGGCGCTACCAGCACCCAGGAGCGTTACAATCGCCTCTATAGCACCGTTGTAGAAACTCTCATTGCGCGGATCTATATCCTTCCAGAGAAATTGCACATAAGAGATCACCTGAACCTGACCACATGTTGCCAAAGCCCACCAAAAACTCCAACGGATTACTGTGCGATTGGTATAAGCACTAAGAATTTGTTTCGTAAGTAGCTGAAAGGCATTGTTCCAGGAAAATCGAGGTGATGTAGTCAAACTGATGTCACTTGCAGCCGTTGGGATGGCAGCGGCGGAGCCGTTTTGTGGAAAAGCTAAAATAGAGAGCAAGAAAAAAAATTAATACATATTGAATTGAATTGCAGTCGGTTGTTTATTTACTTGTTTT